CCCCCCCCCCCCCCCCCCCCCCCCCCCCCCCCCCCCCCCGCTTTGGAAGGGGGGATAGCTGAACTCGTCTTTAGGCGAGCTGCCTACGTATTCCTTTCGGAAATCAAGCCATCTCGTAGTTCTGATTGTTTGCGCGAGTGTGTTTACTCGGCTGTCGTAGACTTCTCGATCGCTTCAGTCGCGGGATCGATGTCTTTGTCCGGGATTGTTTCCTCCGGTTGGGCGGAAGCGATGGGTGCGGAAACTTCTGATTTCTCGGCCGTTGCTTGCTTCGGGTCGTTGTCTGCGGGCGGTGGCGTGACCTTTGCCTGTTTTGGTTTCACGATCGTGACCGCTAATTGCCTCAGCTTATGTTCGGCCAGGAAGCAAGATCGCGATTGTCTTTGGCATCCCCAAATTACTGCGACTCCCGTAGGCGTCGGGAATTTGATGCCTAAATGATACGTGGACATAACCGCCTTCATGGAATTTATCCAAGGCGTGCCCATAATCACGTATTAGATAGACGGGACATCGACTACCGCGAAGTTAACGATTTTCGTCACTTCTTTCGCGACGACCGGTAGTCGGATTTATCCCAGGGTCATTGACGTTTCGCCGGAGAAACTAGTCAGCGGTTTTGGAATCGTCTCGACTTCCGAGAGGTCGATTCCCATTCGTGCTAGCGTATTGCGGAAGATGACGTTGACCGTGCTTCCGGTATCAACCAGGATTCGAGCAACCTCTAAATCGCTTATCACCAAATCAATGACAAGGGGATCGGCATGCGGTTGGTCGATCCCGCCAGTTTCAGCATCGTTGAAAGAGATTACTCCTGTCGGAGAATCGTCCATCGGTACCTCCCAACTCGAGCCGGTTTCGGCTTTACGTTGGTAGGATTTTATCGACGAGACGGTGTCGTTAAAGTATGGCGATTCGCCGATGATCATGTTGATTTTTTGGCGGTTAGCATCGTTACCCTTCTCGTCTGCTCTTCCTCCGCGTTTTTCGCCCGACTGATTTCCCTGAGGCGGAGTTTGCGCGTTTTTGTCATTCTTCGGGACGCGGTCCGAATCGCGGATGAGATCCTTGACACTAGATATCTCGGAAAGTTCTCCCGCGACTAACTTTGCGGTCTATCTGGCGCCGAGAACTTTGCAGTTCACGGTGGAATGACCATGGGTTTGGTGGAGGTCGCAGAAAGAATTCTCATCGTAATTCGAATTTCTTGTCCATGTGTTACCCGTAGTTCGCCCTTGCTCCGAACCAGAGTTGATAGCGTAGTTATGCGCCCCTCGGAGATCATGTCCCTC